TGAGGCAGTTCTGAAGGCAAAAGGGGGTCCAACCCGTTACTAGCATGGGGTACCTAATAAAGTGGCCGGTGAGTGCTCCTTCTGCATTTTTTTATGCCTTCTAGACTTTTTCACTTCTTTTTTTGAGTTTTTAAAGCACTAGTCGATGCATCGGATCGTTGGCTGTTGGATCGATGCATCGATACAAAACGATTATTATTTACACCCCTACTGTCTAGCCTGTGAGGTGTAAAAAAAAAAAAAAGAACCAATTAATTGAATCGTATCACGGTTTATTCTTGAGTATGGACAATAATCGCATCGTTGGGTCAGGAAATCGATACTGAATCGAATCGCCATGATGGGTATGATTTACACCCCTAGTGTTGACTGAGGGAGGGGAAAAACTAAATCCTGAAGTTGGACAGAATTCAACACATAAGCCTAGTTTTACCCTAATGAGTTACTAAATGAAAATCATTCATTCTGATTTACTGTTGATGAAATTGTCCTTTTATGAGATGACTATCTATCTGCAGTTGTGTTGCAGCCTCCGCTGTAACCAGTGTTCTTTATTCAGGATGCTGGCAAAAGATGAGCTGATGTTGCTGCTGCAGAAGTGTGCAGATGTTCTGCAGCCCGTCAACTCAAAGAAAATGCAGGCTGCTTTTGTTCAGCTGGAGGAACTACTCACCAAATTTAAGCAGCTAGATGGTAAGCTGTGAAAATATTCCACCCTACTTTCAGTTTAAAGGATCTTCAGTCTCTGAAACTCCACAGTAAAATGTAGGAATAGGCTTTTTTTAAAGCAAACTTTTAATCTGTTTATTGGTTTTTAAAACAGCTGCTGGAGAAATGGCCCCCAGTGTGGAGGAAAAGTTCACCTCTCCTGTGAAAAGTCTTCAAAAGAAAACGGATCTTTTCCAGCTGCAGAAGGTAGCACCGCCTTCCATCCATCCAGGAAGCCACATTGGAAAAAAAATGAAATCTTAATAAGTCATTTTTTCTTAAAATAAGTGCATTTTTTTCTTGAATTGAGGAGGTAAGTGAGACTTTAGCTGCGGATTGAGATGCAGCTTTTGCCACTGGAACAAGACAATTTTCACTTAAAATAAGAAGATGATGCATTGTCTTATTTCAAGCGCATAATATCAAATTATCTTTATTATAAGTGTAAAAATACTAATTTGATTGGCAAATAATCGTATTTACCTGCTCAAATTAAGGCTAAATGCACTTAATTTAAGACATTTTTACTTATTTCTAGATCGTTTTTGCAGTGCATGTTCTGTTCTCTTTTGTCGATTTGAAACTGCTGTTAACCTCTGGTTGTAGACGCTGCTGGAGATGAACGAGTCCCGTAGGTCCAAGAGAATGAGTCCCTTCGAACTTCTCAGGAACGAAGCCGTGGAGTTCGTTGACAGTTTGGTGAAGTAAGAAAAAGCGGCCTACTCAAAGCATGAAGAAAATGCTTACATACAGAAATAAAAGCTGGTTTGTCTTCCGACGTTCATCCAGGGATCATCTGCCGCCGCCAGAGTCCAGGCCCCTGTACGAAGTCTGCTACTACAGCTCATCGGCCACCGTGAGGCGCCACCTCAACGCAACGCCGCGTAACTCCATCCAGGCAGCGCTCAGCAGACCCCAAAGCTACATTCAGGTATGATTTCTGGGTCACCGCTGATCTCTGAGCTTTATCTATACTTGAATGAAAGAAAGGACTTTTGGCTGCAAAGAAGATAAAATGTGGGAAAAAATGCCTTTACAATCATTCCAAAGGAGGAATAAATTAGTGAACCTTATTACAAATAAAGAAATGGCATTTCTCTATAGAAAGATAGCCGACCTTAACTACAGTTTTATTATAACTTATATTTGCTTCAGCCAAGAAGAGAAGAAATCTTTATATTATATTACTTTTATCCCATTTTTTTCATAGAATTGAAATATTTGAAATGATTTTAAGATTAATATCCAGCATCTGGTGCGTTTTGATGTAACTTATACCCCTTTCACACTGGCCAAAAAACCTGTTTAAATCCGGGAACGATCAGCTTTTGGTAGCAGTGTGAAAGGTGTCTACCAGGGTCAAACGAGTCAACAATTGACCTGCGTTAAAATCATCTCTGATTGGCACGCAGTGGGAACACCACAGATGAGTTGACCTGCTAAACTACGTGATGACTTTGAGCACTGGTCGCGTGTTATGCTACGTTCACACAGGACGCAGCAAGAGCAGCAAAATGGCGTCTGCTGCTTCATTTTTGCTGCTTGTACCAGTTTAGTTCTGACGCGTGGCTGAAGCAGCTTTGCTGCTCTGGCTGCACGGTGCAAAAGTGTGTCTGAAGCGCGTTGGGCGGAGCTACTCTATCCTTTCTTTGCCTTGCAGCTATATTTGCTGTGATCAGTGGGAATAAAGTAGTTTTAATATGTTTTTAAGTAAGAAAATCCACCTGAAAACTTCATCAGTGCAGTCAGTTCATCCAGATTATCATCCTGCCTTCCAATATTATTTCTGTCGGAGCCGCTCAGACCCCCACATGTCAGCGGTGCGCCGTCAGTAGGAGTCCCATTCAACAGCAGCCTCTGGCCGGGTCGCCTCCTCGCGGTTCACCGCGGCAGCTTGAAGGTGTTTTTCATCTAAATAATCCAAACTGCAGGCACCAGGATAATAAAAGCCAACATATTCTGCCGGCAGATTTTTGCATTTTAAGTTAATTTATGCGTCAATAAACTGTTTCAGAGGAGCGATCACAGCGCTCTGTGTCATCAGTGATGTGTCTGTCTCCCTGTCAGCTCCCAGATCAGCTTCTCTGATTGGTTGATGCGGCGCGTCGAGCAGCAAAAGTTCAATATTTCCATCTCGAGCAGCAGCGCGTTAGGTCAAACGCTGCACCTGCTGCTCAAAACGTGCTGCGGGACCTTTTGCTGTGCTTTGATGCACATCAACCATTGACTTTGCATGTAAACTCGCTGCTGCTGCTGCACCTGCTGCGTCCGGTGTGAACGCAGCATTAAATAACAAGCCCAAACGACTCTGCTTGTATTCGAGAAACATGGCACAGCACCGGCAAGATGGAGAGATTTGTGAGCTCCTTATGATCCGCGGAAAAGAAGAGATTCGTGGGCAGAGTTCAGGCCCCGTTTAAGTACGCTCTGGCTCCCGTCCATGTTGTTCTCCATTATTTACTTCAGATTTCCGTCGCTCTGTCGACATCAATGCTCACCCAGAGTGAAGCGTTATTAGACACGCAGTGGTGGGGGACAGTGGCCACCCAGCTTGCCAGCAGGGGGTTAGGCCCGGCAACCTAAAGCTAATTGTTAGTAGGTCAGGTTGTGAAAAACCTGGGTTTCCAGGGTGAAAGCGGCCTCAGACATTCGGATCTGTCCCTTATTGGAGCCAGGATGCTGATTTTGTAGTCTGAGCTTCCCTTAAAAACCAGAACTAACTAAGCTAAAAGTTGCTGTTTGATGATAAAACAGTTATGACCCTCACCTGATAAGGCTTATTATTGCTTCTCCGATGTAGGATTTAATCTAGAAGAGTGAATATTCCTTATCTTTACAATAAAATCCATGAATTCTCAATCTGTGGGATCCAAAATGTTTCTATTACTAATGTGTGCCAAACTATGTCAATATTCTGCTAATTACAAAATGCTATTAAAATTGCGGGTGAGAACGTTTGTTCATGAGATAACTCTGAAAACAACATAGATATGTTGATAGTTACGTTATTAATCAGGGGAAATTCATCTGCCTGATAGCAAAGATAAAAACATATAAAATAGGATAAAAAATATAAACTTAAATAAAAAATTAAAAATAATTCAAAAAGACTCAGTTTTTCAACAGACATTAAACTAATAGCGGCCGGGACAAAAAAAGATCTTTTGCATCACTCTGTTCTGTTTCTCACAGCGTTCAGTCTTCTTCCTTCTCTTTGGCAGTTATCTCAATTTGCAGATCACATGACTTTTGTGATGTGAAAAAATTGTTTCTATTGCAGTTTTTAAAATATAAGGATTATGATGAGGCCAAAAAAAAAACACCTCATCAAAACGTAAAAACAGATCATAAATGTGAGCCTTTTTGTTTTTGTTGTTTCAAATTGAAATATTTTTCCATTTAGAAATTTGATTTTTTTTTTCTAATTACGATTTGCACAATTTGATTGTTGATAAAAACGCGGTTCCAGAGAGAATGGTTCATTTAGTGATAGTTTTTGAGTTAGGGTCAATTTATGCTTCTGATGCAAAGCCTCTGCAGCCGTCAAATCTGTGTCTGTGCGCGACCACGCCCCCTGAGCAAAGGTTCTGCAACCGTCGTCTCACACCTCATAAAAATCCTGGCTAGGCATCGGACGGTCGAAAAAAAGCAGCTGTGATTGGTCCTTGGTTTGCTTTTCCGGCTGTCTGTGTGGTCGTCCTTCTCGATTCGGTGCACGCCATTTTTAAAAACCGAAGAACAACTACAATGGACAACTACGACGAAAGGTTAATCGAGGATTTTCGGAAGTACAACCACTTGTACGATGCCACAGACAGACAATATAAAGATGCCAAGATCTCCGCCAAAACAAAGTTCTCGTGACCATCCGCCGAAGTTCTCGCGAGTTCTCGAATGGGCTCCCCCTTGCTCTTTGGCGGGAAACTGCTGAGTGTTCCTAGAAATTCCAGACCGACGGTGTCAAAGCAAACTAGCAAAACTGTTTCGCGACCCAAGCGACATTTGATGTGTGCGGAATGCAGAAGTCCAATCTTCCCGTTACTCTCAGGGGGAGATTAACCAGGAAGTTACAGGTCTAGCACCCCTTGTGCCTAAAAGTAAGCAAAACAATTTTTTTTTAAATGAATATATCCCTGACTAAATCTAATAAAAGATGCACATCTTTCTGCCTGATAAAATAGATGTTAGAAAATGTTAGAGGTAGGGCTGCAACTAACGATTATTTTAAAAATCATTGAATCGGGCGATAATTTTTTCGATTAATCGATGAATCGGACAAAAAATTTTTTTTTTT